GAGAGGAATCGGCCGTCGTCTTTCGGTGGTACTGACCTTTGAATCTTTTCACCAAACACTTCTACTCAAAACGTAAGAGACCTCGACAATAAGCATTTGTACTGTATTGAAATTTATTTACTGTGGTCAGAGGTAGTTTTTCATATATATAACCAGCATCTATGCAAATTCATCAGGATAAAATTAATATTCGGTGACTAGAATATGAAAACCTGCAATAAACTATTTTCCTAAGAATTTCAGCAAGGATTATATTAAGTTTCCGCAAGTTGTTCAAAATTTATTAAATATATTTTTATTTGTTCCTAACCAATTCGCTAGCCATATAGTCTAACTGTGAGACACTGTGAGACTATAATGTAACTTGCTGAATTTTAACCGCTTTATTAGCGAGTTGTATTAATTTTTTGATATTATCTACAAAATGTTATCAGTAAGTTATTTGATGGCAAAAGGGCCGAAATACTAACCACTATTAACTTAATGGTTGTCCTGTGTTATACTGTGCTACCAGTGTTATCTATAATGACATATTTGCAGTAAAGTACAGGCACAAATATCTTATTTCATTTTGGACAAATATGTCTTTATGTTTTCTACCAAACTCGTCTTATTCTTCCATATGCAAAGTTTAATTATGACTCAGCCTAATCATTAATTTATTACCTTTAAAGGCATATAGGATGAAAACCTTTTAATCGAAATTTTTGTTGTTGCTTCTTCAGGGTTGTCTGTCTTCTTTGCGGTGGCAACATTGACTCAACCATACTTGGCCGAGTCATCGAACGAGGATTGGCTTTTGAGGGGCGAATGGTTCGCTTCACGGTAATTGTAAGCGATCGGCCAGGAGGCATCAACGAACTCACTCGCCTCCTCTACAAACTGGGTGTAAGGTTAGTCCATTTGGATAAGTTGAAAATAGACTGAATAAGGAAGAGAGGCAGGGAAAAAGTAATATGAGATGTATTCACCCTATTTCGTTTAAGGTGATTAAGGACTGTTAGTAGAATTCTCCCACAATCATATGAGTATATGAATTTCACATTGCCTTGCTTTCCCAAAGGTTGTTCTCATCCCTTGTTCTCGATATGTTAAACACTCGGCCACAAGTGTAGTAAGGGGGTTAAAAAAGATACACGTTCAATAAGTCATTATGAGAGATAAAGAATAGGAGGAAATAAGCTAGTATAAAAGTTAACGATAGAATAAGAGCAAATGTAAGGGCGTCTGTATGGTGAAGATATCTATGAAGCTCAGGAAATGTCTTATAGCTGATAATCAGATAATTCATGAATACACCGACAAAATGCAATATGGACTATTCTTCAAAACCTATGAGGACGAATTAAATCGTTCAGGTATAATGTTACATTAGGGCTTTTGTGGCACCCAGTCTAAAAATTTTGCCTATTCCTTTCATATAATATGCGATTAAAACTATTTGCAACATAAGCTTAGAAAAAAGCAATAATGCTAATTTTAGGTAAAAGCTTTATACACATGACGCTTCTTTTACGAAGACACTTCCTTTAGTATACAGAAGGCGTCCATGTCTTCTAGATGAGGATATTTTCACTTATATATAAATATGGATTAACGAAATTCGTAAAGGATCTTCATAAATTCTGGAGTAGGATGATCGTTAAACTGCTGCACAAAGATTTCAGTAATTCGTTTCAGATATCACAGTAGTCTTAGTGGCAACCTCCCCTATATTTATTTAATCTCTGCAGTACTGTGTTGTTTTGTTGTATGGTAGGTCTCCTTCGCCCACGAAGGCTTAATGTTTATACGAAGCTGCATTTCGTATGCTATCTCTATGTTAAGCTATTTCTAAAACATGGCCAACTAATTCATCCAAGACGGACGACGGAATAATGGGAAATGAAACAATATTTCTAATTTTTTATTCAGAAGTAGGGTTTCGAGACTACCGGTAACTCAGTTATAAGAAATGTCTCGAAACTTTTGAACGAAAAATAAGTAATGCAAGTTGGTTGACCTCGTTGTCGCAAATTAATCTTGTTGTCAGGGCGACTTAGTAGAACTCACATTGTCCGAAGTCCTCTGCCATAGTAGTTGTCATAATTCCCTGCATCAGACCGTGGACTTGGTACATTCTCACCACCAAAGAATGTACTATGGGAAAATGTCTGACCTTTCTTGAAATTCGCATTTGCCCTGTGACCCAAGGCCACTCGTGGCGAGGTGACGTAGTGGTTAGCATGTGGATATTATACGCTGCACTGTCATAGTTCGATTCCCGCTGGGGATGCTGATAAGACCTAGGCGAGGTCAAAACTGCAGTCCACCCTGGATGAGAAAAACTTTAGGGAAAGCAAGGCTATGTTAAATTCAATGGAAACTTAAGCTCTATTCATATTTTTGTGGGAAAATTCAGCTACCAGTCCATCATACATCCCATGACCTCTATAATGACTTGTCGAAATTGCAGTCTATCCTTAATAAGAATACCTTTTGTGAAACAAGGTTGTGTGAAATTCATTAAAAACGTTAGTTCTACGAATCCTTCATCACCTTAACCGAAATAGTTTGAATATAGGTCCTATATCAGGTCGACTGGAAGTCTTGAAAACCTACTTTTACAAACTGAAAACTCTGATGTAGATCAAGAGTCAAGCTCTGATCAGGCCAAACAACAAAATGTTTAGTTGCAGATTGTAAAAAATATACGAAGAAAAGTTGTGTTTCGAGTTCAACAATTGTGAAAAACCAAAGCATATATTAGAATGGCTCTAATAATATTTTCTGTTTATTTTTTCTTATTTCTCCCCTACCTCTGATCCCGCCAGCATTAAAGACATAATGCACGAACGCGCCTGGGTTACTTCTGACATATTCAATGTTCAGGTGGTGGTCGTCTGCGAAACACGTGACAGTGACCATGCAAATGAACTGGAGCGCGAGTTGCGCAGCCGATATGATCACCTTATGTGGGGCCCTCCTCGTTTCTGATCTCATTCCATGTCTTCAATTTTTTCACTATTTATTTTGATAACACTCCAAAATGCAAAGCCCTATGCCTTCCATTAGCTCTTTCAGAACCCATCATAGAGAAAAGAGAGAATCCATGGTCTTGGATGAATAGCGTAGCACATACTCAAATCTGTATACTACTTGATCACTATGGAACTCCAAGTCGAGAATCTCATAGATTTACTTAAAGGATATCCGGCATATTTTTTTCCAGCTATCATGTTTGGCTAGATTATATATTTAGATCAATTTCTTACTCAATAACCAAGAATCGCTCTATTTTATACCTGCACGTCTAATTGTGTAGATGGAAATTTTATTGTTTTCTTTGTTCACTAATATTACACTGAAGTGAGACGTAGCTTGTACTAACAAGGCTAATTTTCTAATATATTTTAACTATTTTGCATCACCTTTAAATTGCTCAAAACAAATTTATTCAAAAATTTACTTTACTTCGCTTCAATTTTTCTGTTTACTTCATTACCGTTCTGAATTTTTTTATTCAGGAACTTCTAATGTATTTTGTCTCTTCAACTTGCGCCTAAAGATAAAAGATAAAGCATTCTTTTTATAGTC